TGATATAAAACGCCGGCGTGTACGTGTTGAAGAACTTGGACTCGCCGTCGGTGGGATTACTGAATGTATGTGGTGCCCGGATCGGCACGACAACGTAGTCGCCTGCTTCGGCGTCGATGGTCTCCTCGGTGCCGTCCTCGCGGGGGATGTGGTAGCGGATCGTCCCCTTGGTAGTCCAGAAGGTCTCATCGTGCATCTCGTGCCAATGGGCCGGAGGACCTTTCATTCCTGGGGGGAGAGTGAATTCGGCGGCACCGATGCGGTTGTCTTTTTTTGACACAGTTGTCAGCATTCCAATACCTTGTTGTTTCGTTACCTGCTTTACATACCGGTACGTGAGCCATCTTCGAGCACTCGACAAGTGATGGGGCCGAGATGGATGATCTCGCCAGCCTTGGCCGGGACGAAGTTGACGGGGATCCCGTTCTGGGGGAACTTGAGCAAATGACCCGGAAATTCTTCGCCCATTGTCGATTGCAGATGGGAGTTTCACAAAAAAGAGACAGGAGAGGAGACCTCGTAGATGCTGGAGCTGGATCTGGCCATTGAACAGACCATTTGCTCTGATAAACAGTTACTGCCGTTGTACTGAGTAACACCAGTCGGCGGTCTGGTGCGAGGCTCTCGGCTGCTGCGGCCGAGTAGGAACAACACGATATTCGCCGAGGCCTCCATACCAAGTCCAGGGCGTCCGGGGTACCACGTTCCAGGCCTCACTCGACTTTACACAGGAAATGGCTTCCTTCTGCTGGCGAGAGACTGTCGGGTTCAGTGCCCGAAGGAGGCTGATCACACGTCTATGCTCGTCCAGGTTGGTATCAGGGACAATGGGGTCTTCTAGCGCACCGACCATCGATATTGAAGCAAACATCAATACGGTCGCTCCTGATCCAACCGCCAAGAAGGATTGATTGAATCACATCCATCCCTCCCAACCGACCAAAGTCCAGTCCTTGCCCATCTCCCTGGCACACACAAAACATTCCCCAAGACAGCACGAAAGCCCAGCTTCACCATGCTCTACGAACCCGGAAAATCACCACACAACCTCCCCCACGACCCCTTCAAAGCCTGCGTGATCCCCCGACCGATAGGATGGATCTCGACCATATCGGCAGACGACCCAAGCGTGCACAACCTGGCGCCCTACTCACAGTTCACCAACCTGACATTCGACCCCCCGTACGTCATGTTCTCTGCGAACCAGAAGCCCAACCTCGAACGCAAAGACACGGTGCGCAACGCCGAGAAGACGGGCAAGTTCGTCTGGAACCTGGCGACGTGGGACCTGCGCGAGGCCGTCAACATCTCCGCCGAGCAGGTCCGGTACGGGGTCGACGAGTTCGCGCGGGCCAACCTCGACAAGGAATGGAGTCAGATCCTGCCGGGCCAGAAGGTGCCCATGGTCAAGGATAGCCCCGTCAAGTTCGAGTGCGTCTATCACACGACGTTGCGCCTCCCGGGGAACCCGCCCATGGGCACGGTCGACGTGGTGGTCGGCAAGGTCGTCGCCGTGCACATCAAGGACGAGGTCCTCACGGACGGGAAGCTGGATCCCAAGAAGACGCTGCCGATCGCGAGGTGCGGCTACTACGACTACACGGTCGTGCGGGATACGTTTGAGATGATCATCCCAGGGCTCGACGAGTCGTCGCTTGCTGGGCTGGAGGGCAGTAGAGCCAGGCACCAGAAACTTGGTCAATCAAAGATATAGTCGCAGGTCTTGGATCTAGAATCCGTGGGTAATTTTTCATTGCTTTGGGAAATTAAAGACGTGTGTATATTGTGTGCTTGTGATATTCTGGACTCGCTCAACCAACTAGGAAGTAAACCAGACACTCTGCCATCTTCCAGCGTTCATAATGTGCACTAGTTTGACATATACAGCCTCTATGGATAGTCACGGAAACCCTCCCATATTAAAGTCCGCAGAAGTAAAGTCTGGGATATCTTCGCCAAAGTCCAAGCCGGGCATTTGATCCGCGTCCCCGTCTGTCTCGTGCTGGTCGAGCCAGAAAAGGGCGTTGTGGTCACTGAAAGACATCCTGCCCGGATCGTCGAGTGGTTGTTCCTGCTGAGTCGACAGAGCGGGATATGTCATTCCCTCTGCTACGTCTTCGTGGCTGCCACATGCAGACTCTACCGCTGCTCCCATGCTGTCGGGAGGAGGGCCTCGCACATCCACCGAAGCCGAAGCTGAACCTGTGGAAGGCACCGACGCGCTCTGTCTGCGCTTCGCGGCTTGCAGGGCTTTCCGCCTCTGCGCCTTCGCCTGGTCCATCATGCGCATGATCTGCCGCCACTGGCGCGCCTCCCTGTGAATCCCCGACGACATGGGGTTCCATCTGAGCACGGCCATTTCCTCGACGGCGCGCCAGCCGCGCTTGGCCTTCTTCCCCAGGGGCTGCAGACAGAGGCAGTAGAGGACATAGGCCAGCGCCTCCCACTGGTTGAAGGAGTGGAAGAACCAGTGCCACTTATGGGTCCGGGGGTCGGTGCGGAGTTTGAACGTCGTCTCGAGAGTCTCGACGGCGTCCTCGAAGAGCCTGTCCCTCTCACTTTCGGTCAGGGTGGTGTGTCTCTGCAGGGGTTCTTGGATGTGGAGGCGCAGTTTGCGCGTCAGGATCGAGACGAGTTGCTGTGTGGCCTGCTCAAGACATCAGTTTTCCTTTCCATTCCTACATTTGACATTGGGGAGGGAGTGGTATCTGAGGATATGTAGACATACCCATTGTAACGGACTTGAGGGCGAACAGAGCCGGCTGTACCGAAGGAACAAATGCTGTTCGCATGATTGCACCCACATGTGTCTCTCTTGAAGAGACATGTCGCAGAGTCGTTTGCCCATCTCGACAAGATACCGTCGTGAATCGGACATGGTTCTCATGATGTCGGTGATCTCACACCGGAGGAGGATGAAGGTCGTGTCTGTGAATGTTTCCTGCCGATCCGGGTAGTCTGTCATGTCTGGGAACAGGTCTCTATCGTCCAGATTCCGCGGGAGTTGTGCATCGAAGCTGCTGACCTCGAGTCTTGCCATGGAACCAGTCAGCAAATATCATCCTCGCAGGCGTTTGTGCCAGGTACTCACAAAGTATACTCGGATGCAGAATCTTCAGAGGCCGGCGCCTCGAGAATCGCAATCTGCCACCATAGCCTCCGCCGGAGCTCCAGCTGGAACAAGGGCAGGCCAAAGTCACCAGACCGGTGTAGACCGAGCGACTGTCCCAGTCGGGCAGCGAGGCCGGTCAACTTCCACGATAGCTGAGCACTGTGGTTTCGCAGCAATACCAAATATAACACAAAAGCCTGCAGGACCTCGAGGTCGTCCGTCGAGACCAGCTTGCACTTTGCCAGTGCTCGCTCGACACCAAGGCGGAATCGCGAACAGAGCGTCGAGCGATCCTCGGAGAATAGAGACTGGCATTCCTCGTTTGACAAACTGGTGACGGATCCGAAGAAGATGGCAAAACAGAGCGCTTCGAGACTGTCAGAAGGCCGATGATCTTGTCTCATCGCGTCGACCAGTCTAGGTTCAAGCGTGGGGACATGGACAATCTTCGTCATGGGGTCGATGTTTTCCTTGAAGATACTCCAGAGTAGCATTCTCGCTTGTGGAGGTGGCTGGAGAGAGCTTGCGTTGTCAGGACCTGGATCGAGGCCGAGAAAGAAGCTGTAGTCTGGTTGGGGCTCCTCTTCCTTGGACGCAAAATCTCCTTCTTCTTCCCCTTCGTCATCGTCTTCGTCCTCTGATTCCGAAACAGAGGCTCCCGGCGGCTGATCTACGTCAATATAGCCCCCTGAAGCATGCACATCTGTCACCCACATACATACCCGCAAGTTCAAGGCATTCCACGGGGACTCCTTGACGTAAGTCAGCTTGCCCTGATCACGAACCAGCCTGCCGCCAGCCGAGTCGGGTGTTCTCGTTGCAGACACCCACTCTCTCCCAACATCGACCCCGGCCTGCGTGGGCAGCTGGCTGGGGGGTATCTCTGGTAGCATTCGCTGCTGGGAAGATGACTGAGGAAGGGAAATCTGTGGCCCAGGCTGCGGGGCTGGGCGAGGTGATACCGGTCGAGGCGCCGGTTCAATCTGTCTCTGCCTGAGAGCCGGCTCTAGTGTATGCACTGCTTGCGCGAGGGACTGTATTGTCCTCAACAGCTCCGGCGACGAGGCCAGCAACTTTCCTCTCGACGTGGTCGGATAATTGCACGGCATCTGCATCTTGACACAGTTCTCGCAGGGCTGTTTCTTGTTGCACTTGACTTTTCTTCTCCTGCACGCAAAGCATGATCTGGATTTTATGGCGTTGTCGGTACCCTCGACGCCGCCGCTGAGGTTCCCTGGCTGCGATGGCGGCTGCTGGTCTTGATCACTACTCGTCGGTGGCTCAAGGTTCCCCAATCCGCTCTGAGCCTTGTCCATGGCGGGGTGTATGTATCTCTGGTAGAGTGTCGTGATCACACAAGTGTCAATCTGGCGACCCAGCATCGCCTGACCTCCCTCGGTCGGGGGGTGTACAATAATGGGACTATCGAGATCCAACATACATATGATAGGCGGGCCCTAGCGCGACCACGGGGAGGGATAAGGCAATGGATGCAACCTGATATGATGCTGATCCGACCAAGACTGGAATCTGCCCAACCACCACTACACCTCTCCCATCAGGTGCATCGAGACAGGAACAGGGAGAATGAATGGCCGTTCCCGCGCCTCCGAGGCTCAGACTTGTGCGGTCCAAAGCAGGAATTAGGTCAAGTCTGATTCGCTCTCGCCGAGTCTCGTATCTTCGCCCGAAGCGTCAATACTGGGAAGGAGAGTCCTGCCGGTTTGCTCGGTACGAAACACCCGCCCCGCCAGACCCTTGTCGTCAGGGCTGTATCACCTAGAACAGATAGATAGATAGATAGCGAGGGGATGGAGACGTACGGGTGTGAAAGACAGTGAGAAAGCCATTCAAGCGCCTCGGACCTGGCACACCATCGCTGCACACAATGTTGCTGACCCCGTTCTCAGTCTTGGTTGTCGCCCCTGCTCTCGCCCTGCTCAGCGGCATCCTCATCGTCCTCTACCAATGGGTTGACGTGCTGATCCGGCGTCGCCGCCTTCCTCCCGGGCCATTCCCTTTGCCCTTGGTCGGCAACCTCTTCCAGCTGCCTCGGGAGAAGCAATGGTGTAAATTGGAGGAATGGTCAAAGGTCTACAACAGCCCCATCATCACGTACTGGGAAGGGTGCAAGGCCACGATCGTGTGCAACGACGCCTGGACCATCTCGGAACTCAACGACCGACGCGCCAATATCTACTCGTCGCGCCCGTACAAGACGGTCACGGGCAAGCTGTTCGGGCTGTATGATATGAACCAGGCGGGGTTGCCGTATGGTGATCGATGGCGGCTGCACCGGCGATTGACGGTACGTCACTTCCCTCTCTGCCTCTCGGGTCGATGAGTGTAGGAGTGAAGCAGCCACCCAGTATTTAATATGCGAGGAATGCTGACATCAAAACCTCTGCTAGCACGCCGCGACGAATGCTTCGATAGTGCACAATTACCAGCCTTTTCAAGGTCAAGAAGCCAAGATCCTCGTCAACGACTGCCTGGAGCGACCTGAGTCCTTCGTCGACGCGGTGGATCGATACACCGTATCAGTCGTGTCGACGATCGCCTGGGGTCGGCGGATCAGGGCGTACGACGACCCGGTTCTCCGCGTCGCGCAGGCATTTGTGGGATCGTCGTCGCTCGCGCTGCCCGGTCGGTGCTGGACCGAAGCGATCCCCATCCTCGCCGACATGCCCAACTGCCTCAACACGCTGCCGGCCATGATGAAGACGCTGGCGACCAGCTCGAACAAGTACTTCTACGCGCTGTGCGAAGAGGGCGCCAAACAGCCCGAAGACAACTTTGCCAAGCGGCTGATCCGCGAGGGCGAGGACGGGCTCGGTCGTGTCGACATTGCCAATTTGACGGGCAACTTCATGGGAGCGGGCGTCGACACGACCAGCTCGTCCCTCCTCTCGTGCATCCTGGCCATGTGTCTCTTCCCGGACGTCCAGGCGAAAGCCCACGCCGAGCTGGACCGCGTGGTCGGCCAGGACCGGTCGCCGACGTGGTCCGACGAGAGCCAGCTGCAGTTCATCTACGCGCTCGTCCAGGAGACGTTGCGCTGGCGCCCTGTCTTCCCGCTCGGCGGACCCCAACACTGCCCGATCCAGGACGACGAGTACCAGGGCTACCGGATCCCCAAGGGGACGCCCATCCTGGGCAACCTCTACGCCATCAACCGCAACCCGCGCGAGTACCCGGAACCCCTGGAATTCCGACCCGAGCGCTTCATCGGAGACCTCGAACGGCCGTACCCTAATAAAAAGGGACATAATGTCTTCGGCTGGGGTCGGCGGGTCTGTAGCGGCGAGTCGCTAGCGCAGCAGAGTCTCTTCTTCACCATCGCGTGCCTGCTGTGGGCGTTTGAGATCAGACCAGGATTAGACGACAATGCAAGTTTCTTTTCCTCTATCAAAATCTTTGACACACAGAAAGGAACCCCTTCAAGGTGACAGTAACAAAAGACTAACATGCGTGACAAACAGGGCAAGGAACTCAAACTCGACCCCGAAGCATACAATAACATGCAAGTCAACCGGCCCCTGCCGTTCAAGGCACGCTTCATCCCCCGCTCGGAGAAGATTGCGAAGATCATCAAGGACGACGCCGCTGCTGCGACCGAGTTTCTCAAAAAGTACGATGGCGAGACAAAAGTCACCAAGGAGAATGCACAGTCGGTTGTGCTTGAGGCGGTCACGCCGGCGATTGAGAAGGCGTAATTACAGCCCCAGAGGAGAGCACGTTGGAAGAAGACGAAGAGGAGATGCAGAATCGTACATACATGGCATATAGCATTGACACCTAGGTGTATAAGCCCAGGTTGCTGGTCGAACATGAGTAGAGGTTGATCCGAGAGGCTGCATCTCATGCACATTGGGACAGAAGTAGAATAGAAGCTCGAGCAATTGGAGGGTTACAAAGGAAACCACCCGAGGTATATCGTTGTAGTACAACCAAAAAGAAAAAGGGCGGCTTTTGGTACGAACTAGGTCGATCAACTCGAAGGGATCTTCATTTCAGAGCAAATCTGGGTGTCGGTTCTCACATGTAAATTCAGAGGCAGGACAGTCTCGACGCGAAACCAAAGAGATGGGAATCGAGATGTTGAGTTGGGAATCCATGTTGCAGTGTACACCTAGGTAGTGTGGTGGTAGTCCACCTCGAATGAGTGAGTGGATGAGACTGTATCTCTCCCTGTTTCATTACCCTTACTCCGGAGTGTCCAATATTCCAACGTGATCTAATCACTTGCATGTAACCTAGCATGCTGGCTCTGTTCAACTCCCTCCCATAAACGACAAACGACCACACGTTTCATCACGGCCTTTCATGCCCTACCAGGACAAGGACGATCTTACCACGCCAACTTGGCCGCATCCGCCCCTCCAGCACCATCGCAGATCCCTTTACAAAACGCCTCGTCCTCCTCCAACTGCGAGCCGCTGGCGGACCTCTTCGCGGGCCAAATCTGCTTGCCCGCCACTTTCTCCCGTTCGGCGTGCTTCAGGAGCATCTCCCGAATGATGGACTCGGTGTAGGACACGCCGGCCTCGAGGTCCGGGTGGAGCGGGCCCGTGACGAAGGCGCCCGAGTTGAGGTTGCCCTGGGCGCCGTTGGCGAGCCACTTGTCCTCGCCCTCGACCTGGCTGTAGAAGTCGAGTTCCTTTTCGAGCTTGGCCGGGTCGATGCCCTTGCGGCGGTAGACCTCGTACCGCATGGTCGAGGTGGTGGCGGATGTGGGCACGATTTGCATCATGTAGAAGAACTCTTGACTGGGACACACCGTTAGCGGTAACAGCTTGGGGATTGGAGCTGTGGTTGAAGAAAAGGGGGGAGACTCACGTCATGGTCACCGAAGAGTTGGGAAACATATACGTCGGACTGACAAACGCTGAACGGTCTTCCTCGGCGTTGCCCATGTGCTTGATATAGTACCGCTCACAGCCGTAGACCAGCTGCTTCTGCGCAATGAAGGGCGCCAGACCAGGATGCGCGGTTGGACAGTGATAGCACTTTTCAGGCCAAGTCAGTAACTCAGCCAGTCGTGGGAAATGCCCATAGGCGGCCGAAGGACAGAGGAGAATACATACCTCGTTATAGTTCTCAATCAGTGTCTTCCAGTTGAACTTGCCCTCCATGCCCCACGTGTGGTTATACTCGTAGTCGTCCATGTCGAAATTGGACAGGCGCGGCTGCGTGTCGACGCCGCCAAACTGCTCGTCCCACGACACGGTCGGGGTCTCGGCGGCGTCGAGGTTCACCCAGATGAAGCCCCGGACGTCGACGTGGACGTGGACCTGGAACAGCGAGTACTCCTTCTTGTCGAAATCCTCGACCGAGTCGAATCGGGGTGCTTTGGCCAAGTTTCCATTCAGGCCGTAGGACCATCCTGTTGGTAGTCAGTACCCACTCGCTCACTCACTCGCTTACACCCTCTCTCTCTCTCTCTCTCTCCCCACAGGATGAAAGCATAGCTCAGGGCTTGATGCCTACCGTGGTATTTACATGCCAGAATACTGACTTTGCCTTCGTCCTGGTGCACCAGGGGAAACGCCCGGTGTCGACAGATATTGAGGAACGCGCGGATCTCGCCCTGCCGGTCTTTGATGAGCATGAAGGGAATGCCGGCCACATCGTAGCGGACGTAGGTGCCCGCCGCGCCAAAGCGGAGCTTATGTGAGATCAAGAGCCATGACTGCGAGAAGATGGCGCGGCGTTCGAATTCGTAAAAGGCCGGCTCTGTATACCACGACGCGGGGAACGTTTGGCGTCGTTCAGGGGCCTTTTGCGCCGGCATGGTGATTTGTAGGAGGGGGTCTGAGGTTACTGAGGATATAGCTAGCAATAGCGGCACCGAATGGTCTGGTAGTCTGGTAGGTTACCGGTATGTAATACTATAGTTCTGATATCCAATACTGTACTTACTAGGCCAGCCCGTCCAATGTGTGGCTCTCTAATAGTTCCAGAGGGACCTCCTCGGATACTCACGGCCGCAAAGCCGCTTAGGCGACGAGCCTCTGAGTGGCCACGGCAGCCCTTGGGACGGGGACAATCAGGGCCCAGAAGCCAGACACAGGGGCGAAGATGCCCGTCCGAGCCCTCGCGACTTCGCCTGTGCAACCCCGAACCAGCTCGTTTTCGGGGTGTTATCATCTCCTATCATTGCAGCCTGAAAGAAGGTTGTTTACCTGTGATAACAAACACAAAGGGTTCAGCATGATACAATCACTTTTGCCACAATCAGCTCCAGACATCTGCTGATCCTCTCAAGTCTCAAGATAAGAAATGAATGATTGATATAGTTGCCATTACTGCTGTTGAGTAGAAGCTAGAAGCAAAGCAAGCTGCCATGGAGATCAACCAAAGGCCGGTATGGGCGACATGAGACTGTGTTTCTATCTCCCATTACTCACTCCAATGGCCACTGTGTATTCTGCCAAACATGAGTATGCTAAGAGTGACAAGGCACCGTCTAAAAGGACTGCACAAGATGGATATCGGCGGGATCCTCTTGTCGTGTTGTAACCGATCTGACAATCTTATCACGGTTTGCCTCTCACTGTAAAGGACCAACACATATGGGCACAGCTCCTCGTCATGGATCTCGCTCGTCAGTAATATTAACGAGATAGAATCTGTCTCGGCGAGCAATGTGTCTGTCAAGGATTTTACGTAGAAGCATTCGGGAATGAACCTTTAATTTGATGCAAAGTCCATCTATTCCACAGCCAGCAGCTATAGTTCTATGGACCAACATTGCACAACGACCGTCGACAAAACCCTGCTGCATTCCGCATTCCCTTGAATCTGTCGTCGTTGGCACTGGCCGGAATAATTCTCAGCCATCTACCGGCAAGAGAAGCGGTCGCATCTCCCACAACTAATCCACCTCCGACACTGCGTTCTCAGGCGTCAGTTGCGGTGACTGAAACTTGCCCCATCTTGGACTTCAGACCTTGGTCTTTGCCGTCTTGCCCAGCGGATACTTGGGGACTGATCGTGTGCCCATTGAGCACTTCCATCACGCTGTGGTCGCTGTGGGTGACATGCTCAAAGATTTCGTCGATTTGCTCCAGCGTCTTGCCTTTGGTTTCCTTGAACAGAGCAATGATTACAATCAGAATGACCGTGTCCCATCCAGCGGTGATGGCGTAGTATTTCCACTGGATCTTCTCCAGCGCGATCGGCGAGGTGTAAAGGTTGATGAAGCTGATCGCAAATCCAATAGCCTGGCTGGCGGCAACACCTTTGCCTCGCTGTGAGAACTTGAGGATCTCGGGTGGATAGGTGTAGGCCAGAATCATCCTGCATAAATCAGCATCACCTCAAAAGGCTCAGAAAAAGACGAGGCTTACCAGCTGGTGCTTGCAAAGAAGATGAACACGCCCACAATCACGAGTGCCCCAATTCCGAAGCGGATGTCGCCTGTAGTCTGGCCCCGCTCGACCAAGATCGACATGAGGACGAGGCAAACGATGATGCCAGCAGTACCAGTAACTGAGATATTTGTGTCAGCGCAAAGGTTATAGGTCAGAGGAGGGGGGTGAAACTTACTCAAAGAAGGTCGACGCCCCAAGCGATGGATGGAGAAGACGCCGAACAAGCTCACCAAGAATTGCCAAATGATGAGACCCATGTTGATCAGCAGGGTGTTCCAAATGTCGGTCACGCCCGCGCTGAAGATGACAAAGGACAAGAAATACCTTGTCAGGCGTTAGCAGTGCAGGATACGCATTAGGTGACCTTTTGACTTACAGGATCATGTTGGCTCCGACAATCTGGTAAAAGGTGTTTGTCAGGGCAGCGATGATGAAGCGGCGCCGGTTTGGTGCTGCAGTCAATGTCAGTCAGGCCATTTAGTCACTGCGTTGTTGAGCTGCAATCGTACCTGGGCTGATCAGATCTTTCCATGTTCCACCGTGCGACGATTCGTATTCCAAAGTGTCGATAATCTCTTTCAGTTCTACCTCGACGATCTCGCTTTGCGCATTGCCTCTGGCGTGTAGTCGAGCGATGATTTCGCCTGCCTGTTTTCAATTAGTGATAGTTCTTCTGCGTAGTCTAGGTATGCTTTCAACTGACCTTCTCCCTCTGACCTTTCGAAACAAGCCAGCGTGGGCTTTCGTCGACAAAGGGCAAAAGACAGAGACCAAGAAGGGGGCCCGTGGCCTCGCCCTATTTGCAGTCAGATCGAGTTTGATTGAAAAGAGTTGTGCAACTCACCAAGACGGCTCCTCGCCAAGCCCAGTCGCTTCCAGCATCATAGATGCCCATGACGATGAAGCATACTAAGATGGCCGTAAAGGGAACAGCACACATCACGAGACCAGAGATCAACTGCCTGGTCTTTGGCGGTGACAATTCGGCAATCCACATAGGGACGGCGGTGGCGGCCACAGTTGTGGCCACGCCAATGAAGAAACGGCCGACAATGAATTGAGCCCCTAGGTAAATGGTCAGAATGTTGTTGGTGTCACTGGCGGACACTGTCGACTTACAGGACTCGGCACTGGCTTGAAGAATGACTCCCAAGATCACCAACAGGTTCCCGCAAGCAATGCTCTTGATTCTTCCCCATTTGTCGATCCAGGCTCCGAGAAATGGACCAGTCACCACGGCACCAGCGCTAATAATGGCAGTATTGAGACCGATCCGGTTGTGGTCCAATTCGAAATCTGCGCATAGAATATTAGCTTCCCAGGCAGATTTCCCATTTCGA